CATGCCCAAATCCATCTGCTGTAAGGCAAAATCAACAGAATGAGGCTTTTATGATGTGCTCGTCTTTGCGCGTTCTGCATAATGCACGTATGATGTACCGAGTCAATGCCAGTACAATGCACACACATCATCTCTCAGGTCTACGGGGCAGGAATTAAAGCCGCGCGTCTTTGTTCCCGTGCGCGGATTACGGAGCAGCGAAGATCTCGTGTGTCCAGAGGGAGGATGAGCCGCGTCTGTATCGAGCAAAGAAATGTTCTGCACGAGGGCTTTATCATATCAACACGCCGGATGAGGGTCGTGAATTGCGCATAGCTGCGGGGATTTCATCTCCATCACAGCGGGAGCGTGAAGTATGGGATGATATTAGACGTCGGTGTTGGTTTTCTGCTTAATTCAGGAGGACGTACCCCGTGTCGCGTCACGCTCCTCTGATCAGCAACTTCTCCAGAAAGAGCCTCGCGCTGTTCGCTTGCATTCGTGTCACTCGCGCGATAGATGTGGATCAAACCGCGGCGCGCGTCGAAAACGCTGCCAGTTCTGACGAGATGAACTTTTGGCGATGTGGGTGTTGGAAGTTAAACAGCGCCGAAAGCGGCTCGTGTTAATGAATCAGACGCGCGTTCGAGCATCTTTGAAAACAACGCCTCGAGACAAACAGCAAGCTTATCTCTTTGAAACACAGATTCCAAACACACCGCGCGCGTGAAGGGCGTGTGGGACGCGTCGCGCTGATGCGGATACGATCTAAATACCCTTGAAAGCCGGTGGCAGATTGTCAGAGTCCTGCTCATCCAGACCTGTGTCTATTCTGTCTTTCTTGTCAAACAATTATCACTGTTTTGAAGGATTAAAAGTAGGTTTGGCAGAACAAAAAGGCTGTTTGATTTGCAGTTTGACTGTTTTCTGACGCGTTCCGCTGCTTTGTAGGGTCAGGTTAAGTTGATTTGTGTGATAAGTTATTGAAGAGTGTGTACTCCGGGTCAGGGGTCAGTGTTTGTTGTTATTTCTGTCTCAGCTCAGTGATGTGGAAGCTTTTTCTTTTCTTCCCTGGGTAAAATAGATCTGGTGAGCTCTGTATTTCTCTGCAAACAGATGAGTTTTCAGAAGAACTGGTGTCTGAGACTCAGATGAGACTTTAGGCCGCTGTCACATTGAGTTTCCCCTACAGCTGAATGCTGGGAAATGCCCTGCAAAATGACACACACTTGAAAATCTGAAATGCATTTTTAAATCATGGATCATAGAATTTTTCAATAACAAGAACATTCAACTATAGAAGCTTGTTTCTGCCACTGAATAAATAATCATAAAAAAGGTAATTGCGACTTTTTATCTCACAATTCTGCATTTTTCTTGCAATTGCGAATTTACATCTTGCAGGTTGGACTTTTTTTTCTCTGAACTGCATGATAAATTTGCGATTGTAAGACAATGTCAGAATTCCTCAGAATTCCTCTGGACTCGCAATTGCACCTCGCAAGTATTTATGTCTCCCAATTCTGAGAAAAGAAGTCAATTGGAGGATATAAACTTGTGAGAAAAGGAGTCAGAATTGCGAGTTTGTAGTTAACAAGTCACAATTATCTTTCTTTTTTTTCCCCGTGGTGGAAGCAAGCTTACATAATAAACACACAAATAACAACAAATCCATTTTTTCCATATATATATATATATATTTTTTTTTTTAAGTTTTAAAGTAAAAACCTTTTATTTGAAGCCAAAAATGTAAAGAAAAACAGACAAAAAGACTGTACTTAATAGATTTAGTGAGGGAAAGAACTACAATCCCATGATGCATTGTGAATGACATTAATAAAATGTAAAAAGATGGAGAAGCATAAAAGCCAGACTAAATTATGCTCTGACCCAGCTCAGCCCCTAGTATCTAAAGGAGCAATGCTTTTATGCCACCTCTGAGCAGCATTAAACAGTCTGTGTAAAGATGCCTAAATGCCACTTCAGAAGACCTTTTTCCCACCTTTGCAGTGCAATTTTGGTATTAGACATTTAGTTGTACAACTAGACTGCACACACTCACACCACAAACAATCTTATGTAGTTACTCATTACAAACATACATTAAAATTATTTTTTTTCAAAATTCACATTTTCAGTACGGGTGTGTGTAATTTACATTGTAGAGCAAAATGGCCAAGAATCACCTGTTTATATTTACCGTACAACTTGTTTTACTCATAAATTAAAAAATCCTATCATAAAAGCCCATTATAAAAATCTCTATGGGAAAAATGAAAAGACAAAATAAGTCACGAATTAAGGCCGCTGAAATAGTGTTTGGTGACGTTACGTTTATTGGCAAAAGTGTTGTGTTCCCCCAAGAAACTCTGCAAGAGATTGAACACAAAACTGTTCATGTAAATAACATGAGATGAGAAGAACAGTGATGTTT